TAAAATTTGTTTTTTTTTTAAAGTTAGAGGAAAATATAAATGTGATGATTGAATAGCAGATAAACTAGAAAAGAAATGTTATTGAATAAGAGTAAAGAGAAACAATGTGAAATTTGTTAAAGGGAATTTATGTGTCTATATGGAAATGGGATAAATTAGGAAAATGTGATATAAAATAATGTGTTTCTGCCTTGTAAAGACTTACAATGGAAAGAGGTTTTATGTTTTTAATGTTTAATGATGTTTTGTTTTGTTTGTTTGTTGTTAAAATCAATAAAATTTGTTTAAAAAAAAAAGTTGTGCATCTCCCCCAGTGGCTGAATGCGCACAGCACCAATAAGGGCCAGAAAAAGAGGCAAGGAGAGGAGCGCTTTGATCCTGCTCCGGAATACGGAGTGTCTCTCCATCCATCACCGTTGCCCTTCTCTTCTCAGGGCAGGCGGGGATGGAGTGGGAAGGGAGGGCAAGGGGCGGGGCCAGCCAGTGATGGGATCATCTGACAGGGAGCCGTAGGAGAGTGCGGCTCTAGAACTGCACATTGCTGACCCCCGGCCTAAACCATGGTTCAAAGCCTTTAAAAACACCAAGTTCGCCCTTTTAATCCCTTTTGTTAGAAATGGCTTGCAAATTGCCTTTTGCATACTAAGAATCTTCAGAAGGACAGAGTTTATTACACTGGGTAATTTTTCCTTCAATCCTCAGAGAAAAAAATTTCATGTAAGTTTAAGAATTTACAGAAGAAATATTTCATTTGGAAATAAGCAGCAAAAGGGTGATCGGAATGTTGAATTTAGAAAGTTTTAAATGGACTAAGGCAAGGGTATCAAACTCGATTTCATTGAGGGCCGCATCAGGGTTGTGTTGGACCTTGGGGGGCTGGGGTGGGCATGGCCAGAGTGGGCATGACCAACTTGATGTCATTCGTGTCAGAGCACCTGTGGAGGCCCGAGCATTCTGCCAGTGAAAACAACACGCTGCGCCAGCCTCCTGCAGCCCTTTGCCAGTAAAAACAGAGCAGTTTTCACTGGCAGAAGTCTACAGGAGGTCATCACAGCTGAAAATAGAGCCTGGGAGAATCCGTATGGCCCTCCTCCATTTTTGCTGGCAGAGGCACTGTGAGCCGGTTCTTCTCTGTTTCCAGGCTGGCCCCAAGGGTCAGATCTAAGCACCCCGCGAGCCTGCAGGCTTGCAGGCCTTGAGTTTGATAACCCTGAACTAAGGGGTCAGATTGACTGGAATAAGTTTCTGAAATAATTATAAGAATACTTCCTGTGATTTTTTTTAAAGAAATCCATTAAAATATATGGAAATTTTTAATTTAAGTGTAAGAAATCTTTCCCTGGGAAAATGTTGTGAATTAGAGGAAAAACATGACAAGAGGAAATCTTAAAAGTTGGTTACTAAAGGTGACCATAAAGAATTAAAGATTAGAATTACAGAAGACCCACTAATTTGGAATGGAGGAAAGTATTTTAACTCTGAAAGAATATTTAGCAATAATTTACTCAGAATATTCTGTTAAGATTGTCTGTTACTATAAAAATGAGATTTAAAAAGGAGATAGAAGATGATATAACTGAATCAGGCTGTTCTGGATATGATTCAAAGTTGACAGGATGCAAAAATGATAAATGAAGGAGTTCCTGAGAAAAGAGAATGAAAAAAAATAATCTTTTGGGGCACTAAAAAAAAATGAAAATCAAGGCTTTTAAAAGTAATAAGTGTTATAAAGTTGGCTTATTTGATCACAGTTAAAAATGTGTGTTTTTTTGTAGCAGCATTTAATGGATTTTTCTCGTCTAGAGCTGAAAGAGGCTTTAAATATTTGCTTATAGATAAAATATTGGAAGAGATTTTTTGTTGCTGTATTTTTAGAGGAATTGAGAAGCTATGGTATTAAAAGCAAAGTAATAAACTTGTGAAGAGGTTTCTGAGAGGATAATAAACAAAAACTTAATTATTTGAAGAGATTAATCACCAATTTTTCAATTATGTTGTTTCTGGTAGTCTTAATGGATTTTAAAAAAGTAAATAAGACTTTAAAGATTTGCTTATAGATATGAGATTAAAAAATGGGAAGAAGAATTTTTTGTTGTATCTTGAAAGAAAATGGTAAATTATTGTAAAGTGGATATGAAACTGATTTACTTGTTTAAGTTCTAAAAACTCTTAATGAACCCTTACTGATTAATAGAGAAAAGATAAAATATGGCATGAAGAAATTTGGTTGAAAAGTTAAAGATAAAAAGTTACTGAAATTGTATTTGTCTTGATGAAGAACAACTCCTTCCTCTTTGCTTTTTAAATATATATTTTCTTCCTTTCTCTTTTTTTATCTCTATACTTTTTTCTTATTTTTCTTTGTCTCTTAAATTTCAATAAAAAATATAAAACAAATTCTTAGAAATGAATGTTCACTGCTACTCATCTGAGCAGCAAAATTACATTTGAAACCAGCTGCATCTGTTATGGAACTCCTACATCCTTTAGTTTCTTCTATAGGTTTCCCAGTGCTTAGAATGATGTATTGTCAGGAAATTGTGCAGCCAGTTTTTTGATATATATTAAAAAAGATAGTCAGGTAACATCAGGTAAAACACACACTGCCCCAGCTACTAAATTTAAATATCTTAACATACATTTCTAAATCTATACACCTGTGTGTTTTTTATAGTACTGAAACTGTCAGCCTTCCTATGTAGAGTAGATGGGAAACAAGTTGAGTTAATTCTACTTTATTGTAAGGTTACATTAACAGAATCTTGCAAGTCGGAAAGTTCAAAATCCTCCTCAGTTTCTTTTTACAGCCTGATAATTTCGGAAGGATGTCCCAAAGGGCTGAAGAAGCTTCTTGGATGAGAAGCGAAACATTTTCAAAGAAATGTCTTCAGTTGCCTCTTGAAAAAGCACCTTTCGGACAACCAGGACCTGGATGATTGAGAATCTCCATAGACATTTAGGAAGGATGCTTTCTGAGTTTCTTTCCCTGCATGTGTGATGCAGGTGCAGTCTTTGCCCCGCCCTCTCTTATCTGAACATTCCCTAAATAGCATCTTTTACCTCAGACTCCCAAGGTCATTCCTACATAACATTATAAAAGCATAGGAAATTAATTCCAAAGGCCCTTTCCTGTATTATTAACTTTGAACAAGAAGTTGGACTTTCATCCAACAAATATTGAAATATTTTCTTGCTTTGTACTTTTGATTGCCTAATAAAATTTTGAAATTATTCTGCCTTACCCATCACTTTAAAACCTGTACATCCACCCACACACTGGCCTTCAATTTGATCAGTTAATTGGAACTTAACTTCCATTGAATACAGTGGTGGTGACTTCTTAACAGGATGTCTTAGACTGCATTGCATTGCACTAATTCTATTCTGGCTAAGAGTTTGACCTTCAGTTCAAAAATGAGATGTCTCTAAATTACAGTAAAAAGTTGCAATGCACCAATTATCAAATTTGTGAATATAAACTTACATCTAAGGATGTACAAGCAATAACCGGAATTCTAAAAACCTTGACTTTATTTTCTCAGTTCCTTAGATTTGGCACTTTCAGACATAGTCTGGTCTCCCACTTTCAATGTAAGCCTGCTACGAGCATATTTCAATATAGTAACACCAAGTGATGCTTAGAAAGTTTTATCCCAAAGTTTTAATGCAAATTAGCACATTTGGTCAATTACACTTGTGGTTTCATCTGTACCTACTTCAAGCAAATGCTACAACAGGATTATTAGCTTATGTAGAACATATACTATGGTGTTACTGATACTACCTCTTGCCAGATTAAAAGAAAAGGGGGAAAGATCTCTGGAAAGATTTTTCCCCCACTAATCCTTTTACCTAAAATGCCGTACACTGCTATCTGGTTTGAGAACTGACTCAATTTCTAGATAGCAAATTTTATCAGTGACATAGAACAAATCTACAGAGGGTGTATTTTGATTTACAGATGAGTTCTGCATTTATATTTCCTTCCTTCCTTTCAAAAATAGATACACAGGCGTGTGTTTTCCATACAAATTACTCCAAGTAATATATGCTAAATTCTGCAGAGCCCATTTGGCCAAAGACTAATAACCCCCCTTGGGAGCTGACACCAACTTTCAGCAATAGCCCATTGCTGCAGATTAGCACTGGAACATATGCTGCAGAGGCATCCATGTTGCCTTTCTCGCATTAAGATCGTATTTTCACTATCTCACACAAATCCTTTGTCTTTTTTATCCCGTTTTTATAGTGAATAAATAAATAAATATTCTGGCAACTCAAATAAAAAATGCAATTGATTTTTATAACCATGATCAAATTTTGCATCACAACCACAAGCTCGCTCTGTCGAATCCAACATAGTTTTGTATTATTCATGGGTTAGCTTCCCTACTAGCAAGTGTGCAATGTTTTGTGTTGAGCTACTTACTTTCTTTTTAAATGAAATAATCTTCCTTCCTTCATCTGAGTTTTTTTTTAAATCTATATTTAGTTTTGGAGTCCGCATAGGCTAATTGACAAAAGAATAATACATTCAATGGAATATTAGTTTAAATAGCCTAAAGCAGAAAACCATATCCACATGGGCATCATTAATGTTACCTCAAAGAAGATCTAATCCCATCAAAATGGTAGGCTGCAGTTCAAATATTAACTAGCCGTTATGTTGCAATAATTATTCTATCTTTGCATAGGTTATTGCATGCATTGTCTTTGCATTTCTGTAGAATACTTAAGTTATTCAAGGAACTCCTTTTGTTTAAAAAAAGACAAACCATATAATATTTTTCCACTAAAAAAATACACACCCTCATCCATACAAGTTCAAAAGATTTTCAACATCAAGTCTTTCTTCTAACTTTCAGCAATTATGCCTTTTTTCAGGAAAACTGGGATGGGCAGTTTTTTCTATGTAATTTCAGCAGTATCATATTGTGCATTGTATAGCATTCAGTGGCTGAAGACACAATCTAAAGATGAGAAAGTGGTTCAATACTTACTGAAAGCAGCCACCGCCAGAGCCAGTGTAACAACAATGGAGGCCCACGAAACCCACAATGCTTTCTTTCTGTAGTTTTGAGCTTCATGAGGTTTTAATCTTGTGCTGCTTTCTAGCAAACCTGATGAGAAGAAACAAACGTATGGCTATTACTTTAGCCTGTTCCTTGCCATAAATTATAACTGGATTTGTACAGAATGTACCAAATATGCCCTATGTGTATTTGCATCTTACAGTAGAGGCCAATCAATCATTTTATTACAAATAAGGTATGTTGATTCAGTCCTGAACCTAGAATTCTATAAGAATGAAGGAGCCTAATTACTGCCTGGAGCATACTGTAATCATACAGGAGGGTTGTGCATATATGAAGGTTTCAGACTATCCTTATGGCTCTGCATTTACACTGCAATTCTTAATTGCATATCAAAGCACAAAGGACCGCTTCCTTGGGATGCTGGTCAGTCAAAAGCACAAACCTGTTTGTGTGTGTGTGTGTGTGAGTGAGGGAGAGAGAGGGGGCGGGGTGAAGAAAGAGAGCTGACATATCTACAGTAGATATAGGCGATAATAGAATTTATTTCCGTTTTATTATTTTATTTTTTCAATTCTAAATTTATTATATCAGCAATTTTAACTTGTCTATTTAACAACATCTGAAAAATTATTCTTGCCCCCCCCCTTTTCCTTAAATACCATTTTAATTTTTGGATAAAAAGCAAATTCCTACTTTAGTACAATTATCTTACATGGAAGCACATATAGTCTTATCAAATCAGGTCTAACTATCAAAGGATCAAACAAAGCCCGCTGAATTATTCTACGATAAAAAGTACTACAGGGCTCTGTAGCAAAGGCCTTAAGCAATGCTATTCACAAAATAATAAAAATAAGTAATATCCTAATGTTTGTAATAGGTAGGAGACATACAACCTTTCTCTCCATACCATGCTATATTTTCTAATTTAATATGCTTACTATTGCTACCTATTTAAAACCAATGCATTCTAATTGAAACTAAAACAAATTAAATTAAATTAAGCCAGATAAAATAGATACCACTCAGTTCCTCCAGCTGAAAATGATTTAGTAGTTATTTAATTACAACTCTTAAAAGAACCTATAGAATTCTTTAAAGACCTATGGAATATACAGATATATGACAAGACAGCTTTGCAATTATATACAAACATAATATTCCTACTAACTCTGCAGAAAAATGTTTTCATATCTGCACCATACTTCTGAGCCAAGTGCACAAAATTCCTCTAGAATAACTGTTCAAAAATAAATTAAATTACAAAAAGCAAAACAAAAATTGATAAAATACACATTACTTAAAGGCCACAATTCTTGGATAAAATTATTCTCTTTTTAAATAATTATAAATGCTTTTATATCATAAAATTCTACTATACATTGTCATATAATGGGTTTTATTTCCATCTTTGTTTAAAAATAAATTTTATAATTTATTTCTGCTCATAACTTAATGAAATTGGCACTATTTTATGTTGTATAAAATATCACATTTTATATTTTGATTATTTCTTGCTCTGTTAATGGCATAAATTTCTCTGCTCTCTAACAAATGGGATAGAGAAAATTTTTATAAATAATATTCTGAGAGGCTGACTTTAAACTTTCTACCTCTAAAACCTCCATGTATTGGGACCCAATGAAAAGCACCTGAAAACTACAGTTATTGCAATTAACAAACATTAAAGGTTAAAAATATTTCTAGCATTTCCCTGGGAATAATCAACCAGTTTAGATTGAAAGAAATAAGGCAAATATAGAAATAAGTTTAGGGGATTCTTTGTCTCCAACACACATCTATGTCCCAAACACACAATTATTTTTCTTTTTTATCATTTTAGTTCCTCTCTCTCATATCTGAGCAAAATCTCTGCAGGAGCACATACTGCAAAAGGTAACAGTGGGAGCAGTATCCCTGGTTAAATAAAGACCATGTTATTCCTGGCCCCAGACTCTTAAAATTGTACCTTACATATAGTTGACACATTCCCCTGAGTTGCAAAGTAACAAGCAAGCTACGCCCGATTTTCACTCCTTTTAATTTAAAAACTGACACCCCCGTCTCATTCACCACCACCCCAAGTTCCACCACAGTGGAACGACTTCCAGAACATTATCTGGGGAACGGATCTAAAAGAAGCCACTGAAAAGAAGAATTAGAAACAATAACTGAAAGGAAAAAAACAAAGAGTAAGTTCAAAGGAATGTCTGGATTCAAAGGGAACTTCCTTTGCCATTGTGGAAGACCAGAGACTGGGAAAGGGGGGGCTGGGGGAAAAAAAAGGGGGGGGGATATTGCAAAGCTAAAGAATAGGCACGTGCAGGGCAGGTGCCACCACCGGCAGGAAACAATAGGCCAAGTGTCCCTTCCCTGTAAGGAAGGGTGGAGATGGATACACAGCATCCTTTCTTTGCAATGAAGGAGGCCTGCTTGCAAGTCAGTGAATGGGTTTGGATTTGCATTTGAAACGCTTGCTGCCTTCAAGCACGCCCATTTAAAAAAAAAAAAAGTGGGTGACATGGGATGTTTTTATTTTTCTATCCCGGTAGATGCTTTAGTGCATATTTTCAAATAGGGGAGGGGGGAGAGAATCAGGAGCAGATGCAGGAACCAACTCCACCCTTCATTTGCCAGCTGCCTATATGGGAAAATGTTTTGGGGTTGTTGTTTTTTTTTTCTATTTAGGAAGGAGAAGTCAACGGCGGTCCCTCAGATCGGTGTCAGAGGTGAATAAGGCACTGAGTCTTAGGGACTGGTAAAGCGGTGTTATCTCTTGTCGCATAAACTTGCGTTAACGCCAGCGCCTCAGGAAAGGCGGCCAGGACAGGAGTGCGCCAAGGGAGGCTGGTGAGGAGAGGAAAAGGGAGAGTTTGGGCCTGAGGGTTTTTTTTTTTTTTAGAAAAAAAGAAAAAAGAAAGAAAGGCCATGGGGTTTTGGAAGTAAAAGACGGGTGCGGACCCCGAGCCAGTCCCAGCAACGAGAGGAGGTCTCCAGGTCCCGGGCCTGGAGAGCCGCAGGAGGAAGAAGGCAACGCTCGGGGTGGGTCGGGGGGGGTGACCCAGGTGACCGAGCAAAATGTAGCTCTGCACAAAGGAGAGAGCGCGCGCCTACCGTCGGCGGGAAGGAGTTGAGGAGGGCTCCGCTGAAGCGGCTTTGAAGCGAAGCTGAGGCCGGGCAAGGTGCCGACGACAGAAACTCAACTGGGAGAGGGGCGGGGGGGAGGCCTCTTCTGTGGAGAAGCGTCGATCAATCCATCAAGCGGGGCTCCCCCAGAAGTTGCGAGGGGGGGGGGGGGGGGAACGGGCCCCGCGCGAGGGCTTTGGGGGGGGGAAAAAGCGGCAACGTCAAAAGAGGGCTCGAATGCCAGGAGCAAAAGCGAGCGGAGAAAGGCCGGGTAAGGTAGGTAGGTGAAGTGGGAAGGAAGGAAGGTGGGTGGGGCAACGGGCGCCGCAGGACTGGACCTGGGACGAGGCGGAGGTGACGGGCGGGCGCGGGGGGGGCAGCGTCCCCGGGACCGAAGGGCTCACCTCTGTCTTCCACCTCTTCGCTGAACTGGACGTCCTCCCCGACGCGCAGGTGCTCGCCTTGTTGCGACTCGAAGGCAGGATAAGCCGGCGCCGGAGCGGTCCCGGCAGGCTGCAAAATGGTGGGTTCTGGGGTGCTGCCCAGCTCGTCCCCGACTGGAAATGCCTCCATGGCTGGCTGAGCGAGAAGATGGGGAAAGCGGAGCAGCGAAAGAAGGCGGCGGCTCCAGGAGGAAGAGGAGAAACGGCGGGGAGGGCGGGGGGGGGGGGAGGGAGAAAGACTTGAAACCGCACAGACGGACGGACGGACGGACGGATGGAGGGAGAAGCGGCGAACTGCTCCTCGCTTCTCTTTTCCACACACACACATATACACACCCCGGGGCCGCCGCTCTGCCTCGCCAATCAACCTCAGGTGCGACCCGACAGCAATCCGCCTGGCCGCTGAGCTCCTCCTCCCCCCCCCCCACCCTTCGCGAGGCGGCAGCGGCGGCGGCGCGCGCCAACTCTCCACCCGACGGAGGGGCGCGGGAGATTTGGGAGGCGGGAAAGACGGTCCTCAACTCCAGAAAGGGGGCTCGCTCGGTGCGGAGCTCCTGCCAGGCGCAGGCCGCTGCCTCACGCCTCTCAACCTGAAGCGGTTGGCTCCAAGCCCCCCCCCCCCCTTAAAAGCCGGACGTTTAAAGGGAACTGCTGGGACCCGGCCACGTGCCGCAGCCCCTCCTCCCTTTGAAAATGTTAACTAGTAATCGAAGTTTATCCATGTACCTGGGTTGAAGTACTCCGGAAGAAACCCTTGAGGCTTGGGGACCGTGGTAGAGAAGGAGAAGATTTGCAGGAGGGAGTCCTCGGGGCTCTCTGAGCTTGGTTGCTTTCTTGCAGACGTTTCGTTACCCCAAACTTTTTGGGTAAGGAAACGTCTGCAGAAGAACAACCAAACTCAGAGAGCACCGGAGAGGACCCTCTCATAGGGACCAAGGAAGCAGTTGCCGGAGTTTCCCAACTCTGCTCTACCATCAATATATTAAATTTATATGCTGCCCCATTCCCAATAACTCTGGGCGCCCTCCCTGTTAAGGGCAGCCCAAATGTTTTTTTTTCTTTCTTTCAAAGCTCCAGGTGATTAGGTTGGAATAAGGAATGAACTTCCACTGCAACTCTGCAAATGTTGAGGGCTCCAGATCCTTTACTTCAACACACATACTATTACTCCCTGGTAGCTCCTAAATGTATTAGACTCACAGCCTCAAATGCAGAACCCGACTTGGAATAACTTTATTGACACTTGGAAGGTACACTAATTGACATCCATTAAAATGGAATTTCGTTTGCATACAACCCTCAAAGGGTCATCACCATCTTTTCACCACTTAGAGATTTAACAGGAGGAGGGGAAGGTGAACCTGGAACTGGTGGCATCTTTATTTCCGTTAGCCACAGTCAAAAGCAGTTTGGCTAGTGAACCCCATTCAGCTATTGCCAGGGACTTGAATGGGAAAGGAAGGAGAATGAAGACATTTTGGACAGCCTCCATCTTCTGCTTGGACTTCTTCAGGGTCACAGTGAATGCAAAAGGGGTGTGCAGTTTAATGAAAAGACACAAGAGTAATAAACTAGGACAATTCCTATACCTTTGTAGGAAGACATGTGCCTACTTCAACCAAAGCAGCGACCATTGGAAGCATAAGAGCGATGGGTTCTGTTCTCCCAGTCATTCATTTAGAACCCTGCTGCTTCACTGTGTGTATTCGAAATACTGTAACTCATTTTGATAACTGGCCATTAAGCCACAGTTTACTGACGTAATTAACTGAATCAATATGAACGAGCTAGATTCCCCTCCCCCCTCCATGCTACTCTGACTGTACCATCCCACCCTCATTTATTTGGGAATAAGCTTTACTGAAATTATTGGACTTTCGTTTTATCTGAAAATAAATATAGAAGGCAATGCCTCCCTTGATTCAAGTTTGAAACTTCATCAACATTACTACCATGTTTCTCATATAATAAGGCTGGGTCTTATTTATTTTTTTTTTGAGCCCCGAAAAAATGGTTAGGCCATCTTTTGGGGGGTGACTTAATTCCCCCCCACCTTGCATCTTCGGGCGGGTGGCAACGGCTTGGATGTTGACCTCGGTGTTGGTGGGGCACTTCGTATCGGGGTCAACGCAGGGAGCACCATATCCGGGTATGCCAGAAAAGTACTTCCTAACAGCAAGCCCCCCCACCATTCCCCCACATTTTGCATGTTTTAATATAGGCCTTAATTTGCGGGGGAGGCGCGTAATTTCATTTCATGCCTATAAAACATGCTGGGACTTCCTATTGGGGGAGGCTGTATTGTTGGAGAAACAGGTTATTATTATAAAACTGTATGCCATCCAACTCCCAACAATTCTGGTTAGCTCACAACAAGCAATGAAGTTACAATAAAAGACAATAAGCACAACAGGCCAGATGGAATGAAGCAAAGGGTTTCACTCGCCTGTGCAAAAGGCCTGGGTGAAGAGCCAGGGCTTCATGGCTCTTGTAAAAACAACAGCTACGTGTCCCAAAGGTGCTTTTTAAAGAGGCAACTGGACTTTCTGGTTTTTCTTTGAAGACGTTTTGCTTCTCATCCAAGAAGCTTCCTCAGAGCTGGATGAGAAAGCGAAACGTCTTCAAAGAAAAAAAAGGAAAGTCCAGTTGCCTCTTTAAAAAGTACCTTTGGGACAACCATGACCTGGATGATTGAGAATCTCCATAGAGCAGACAATAGCAAAGTGGAGACCATCTGGATCTTGGGGAAAACCTCATTCCAAAGGGTTGTGTGGGCACTTTAATGCCTTTTCCTTGGCAATAAGGAATGTGATGTGGTTTGTCCTTCCTACTTTCAGGATTCTTTCTGGCTTTCCAATTTAAGCCACACCCCAAGGGCAGCTGAGAGCTATACTCCCAGGAAGAGGTGTCTCTAATGAAATAGTTCTTCTTTTCTCCTTGCAAAGACAGCCATGGTCCTTTGGGAGGAAGTTCTGAAAATCTTAGAACAGTAGTAAAGCTCCAAGTGGGGAAAATGGAAGCAGATGGTTTTCATAAACTTACATGGACTGTGTTTGTATAACAAGCTTACTATACTTGGTTGAATCATGCTTTGTTGAAATAATCCAATTGCTTGGATTTATTGAACAATAAACTAGCGTGAAATCTTTTGTTATTTAGACACAATAAACAGGCTCTGTTCACATGACATAATGGGACACAAAATAGTCGACTGGATTTTAGCTAGCACATTGTTCAAATCCATGTTATATAGTTGGCTTATGGTTCAAAGTATCTTGGTTAATTGAGATTATTTAAATTAACCATTGCTATGCATAGCCATTTTTCTCATAAGCAGTGTTATGTTCTCATCCGGTGCCTATTTTTACATCACCTGCTTACCCATGGTTTTTCTCACACCCAGTTCCCTGGATTCATGTGCCATTTCGAACTGTGACCTAAATATATGGGATGGATTCATGCAGCACATTGGATTCGAGTTGTTTTGACTCCTTTGTAGTTACTACATCATTATAGGAAGCTGACTCTTTGGTTTGCTGAAACTTGCTTCTGGGTAAAGAGGAACAGGATTGACACTTCCATCTCTTAGCAAGATTGAAAATCTGCCATCTGAAAATCTGTGTTTCTGAACAATTATTACCCATTGTTAGCAATTTTAAAAAATAAGGAGCTTAAAAATAAACTTGCTAGCTCAAACACATCTTGTGCTTTTAGAACAAGGATATAGTCAGCATTTCCATTAATGACAGAGAGTTGGGCTTTTGTAGAAGACATTTAGGAGTGTTTGGAATGTGAGCACTGAATACAAAGTGTTTTGAATAGAGTTCTGAAACTAATATCCAAACATAAATGTATTAAAGGGAAAAATGTGATTATGCAAAAAATATGTTTTAGTTAAACTAAAACCCAATTTATTTTAAGATTTTAGTGTCATTTAAGAAGCATTAAAAGAGACAGTCACTAGAGCAAGGAGCGGGCAATTTTACAACCTATGGACTTCAATTCCCAGAATTCCTGAGCCAGTCATGCAAATAAACTGCACAGGTCTTAAAGTTGCCATAGTTGCCCACCCTTGCAGTAGACTAGAGAGTATATCATTAGGTTGGGTTCCTATTGTATGCTAAGCATACCAAATAAAGAGGTCAAAACCAAAAGGGGACAATAGAAATCATGAAGTAATTCTGTGTATCTCAAAGTTTTTGACATACTCAAGGGTGTGAATACAGCCTCTGGAATTGGGAAATATGTAAATACAGTTATACTAATAAGTGTGCAAAGAGGTTCACACGTCACATTAAACCATAATGTGGCTGTTTATTTATGCTTTAGCATGTTGGGTGAAGCCAGCTATTCATTTTAATCTTGTCTACTTATAAATTGTACACATAATTCTGCTTCAGAACAACACTCTTTCATAGGGGATAGAAGCTAAAAATCCTAACAGAACAGGGACATTTTAAAATATGTATATAATGTGCTACATGATGGTAATACTAATACTGGTAGTCCTTAAAATATGACTGGTCACTTAGCAACCATTTAAAATTATGATGCACCCCTTAAAGGCTACTTGCAACCTGGTTTTGAAGTTGACTTTCCCCAAAGTCTGGTGATTGCATTTGGGGCATTCAGCAACAAGCTTGCTGTTTGCAGCACCTGCAGTCACATGGCTGCAATTCATGACTTTCGCCAGAACCCATTATTTCTGGTTTCTAGCCAAAACCAGGCCATAGTGAACAGTGGGTTGATTTAATTAGCAATAGCAATAGCACTTAAATTTATATACCATTTTATAGTGCTTTACAGCCCTCTCTAAGCAGTTTACAGAGTCAGAATATTTCCCCCAACAATTTGGGTCAGCATTTTAACCACCTCAGAAAGATGGAAGGCTAAGTCAACCTTGAGCCTGGTGAAATTCATAGAGCTTGCTTTATGACTGCAGCATTTTATTAACAATCATTGCAAAAAAAGGTTGTAAAATCAGATCTGGCCATTTGATTGCTTTAAGACTATTGTGACTTACAACCATAATTGCAGCACTCAGTTATGATCATAAGTCTATTATTACTTGTAATAATTTTCTTATTTCAGAATGAAATGTTCTATCAATAAGTTAAAATATCAGCTTCT